ACAGTGATTCACTTAACAACTGTGGCAAAAAGATTGTAAAAATGGGACAAAATTCACTTAACCGCCTTGCTGAGCAATGGTAACTTTGGACTCGGTTATGATTGTAAGACAAGGACTACCTGTACATTCTAAAATGTAAGAAAAGCAATTAAAAACAATACAAAATAAGTATCTATGGTTGCCCAATACACCTATTGCTGTAGATGTTAATACATCCAATGGTGCTTTTAACACATTTGTGGCACCAGACCTGAGCACATAACCAAGTCTTCACAGCCTTTATGAGAGTCCAGCAGGGTCAGGGGTCTCCGGAGGGAGAATATCCAGAGGCAGTTGGCTATGGCAAAGAAGGCACGTCTCCTGCTCCCCTCCAGCCAACATTTCTTGGATGAGAGGGCTTGCAACATGTCCAAGCTGTCAGACTGGACTGGACAAGTAGAAATGACTGGGAGAAGATAGTGCCTTAGATAAGGGGTCTCCAACTTTGGCAACTTTAAGACCTGTGGACTTCAATTCCCAGAATTCTTCAGCCAGCAAATTCTGGGAGTTGAAGTCCACAGGTCTTAAAGTTGCCAAGGTTGGCGATCCCTGCCTTAGATAACCTGGCCCAAGACACAAAGATCTTAGAAAGCTTAATTAAAGCTTATGAATCAAACACTGTCCTTCTTGGCAATGCCCCAACTGCATGCCGTGTTCATTAAGAAAATATTTTGTTTATACATCTAATTGTTAGCTACCCAAAACTGGCTCTGTGTTTAATGCTAACATCTAATTGTTAGCATTATTCTGCAAATGGAAAGCTTGTATACTTTCTCTATATTTGTCTCCAAAAGAATTTGCGTCACAGAGTGGCAATGAAAGTCTAAACAAGCTGCAAGAAAAACCCTTTCCTGCCTCTCTCCACGTCATGAAGTCTTATGTAGGAATGTTGTTGTTACACCAGCCTATGAAATGTAAAAGTCTGGGTTGGAAATCCTACTGCAGCAGAAGGTAGGGCTGGCTTTTGTAAGTTTAGGCAAAGCGAGGGGGGAGAAAAAGTCTCAGTAATAAGTGGGTTGCACTCTGAGTGGCATCGGAGAAGACAGTTGTTATCACAGGCCTTCCCTGAATGTAAGTTAGCTGCTGCCTTCAAATGCAGAAACATGCCAGGGCTGTGTCATGTCTCTCCCCTCCCCCCATCAATGCAGAAGGAAAGATCAATTGCCAGTCTATTGGCTTTTGTAAGATGGAGGATCTGTCAAGCGACAATTTGTTTTGTTCGTGCATTAAGTAATAAATTCAGAATTCTGGTTTGCTCTGGCACCAAAATGCTCCACCATCCATTGGGTGGGGATGTGAACAAGAATGGTGTCCACCACAAAAGTCTGCTTATTTCCATGCATTTCAAAAAACAGATTTTTCCAGAACAGCCAGTACAAGTCATGTTAAGGCAGAGGTCTCCAAACTTGGCAACTTTTAAGACCTGTGGACTTCAATTTCCAAAATTCTCCAGCCAGGTGGCTGGGGAATTCTGGGAGTTGAAATCTATAAGTCTTAAAGTTGCCAAGTTTGGGGACCCCTGCATTAAGGAGTCGGTCTGATGCAGTTTACTCAAAAGAAAGTTCAGGAATGGGTGGCCTAACCTATTGCTCTTGGCCACCTGTCGGCACATCGTGTTTTGAACTTGGAGTAGCAGCTCTGGAGGAAATGGTGAGATAACCCACTTCCCCTGCTTCTCCATGGGTGCTGGTAACAAGAGCAGAGAGTGAATGGCTGCTCTGGTGCCAATGCTCTGATTTCACCCCAGGACTTATGCTGCTAGTCATCGACATCAGAGGTCAGTTCCAATTCAGTCATCTCTTGGGGCTTCAATGAAGGTAGGAGACCTATTTTGTTTCATGGCCCAAAGTGGTCAACCCTTTTGGAGCTGACTCACTTTTGTGCAGCTCCTCCATGGGACGACAGCACTTTAGAGCTGCCATGAGGAAGAACCCAAAGAGCTGTCAGCAGTTTGGTAGTTCGATTCTCACCAACTCAAGGTTGACTCAGCCTTCCATCCTTCCGAGGTCGGTAAAACAAGGACCCACATTATGCTGACTCTGTCAATTGCTTAGAGGGCTGTAAAGCACTGTGAAGCAGTATATAAGTCTAAGACATTTCATGACCCAGACTAGGTAACATCATCTGAGTGCTAATGATGCTATCTAGTTTCGGTAATGAAATGTCTTCAAGAAAACAACCAAGCTCAGAGAACACCAGCAACCTCTCATTTCAACCCTGAGCTATAAATATTCTCCTTTATCAATATCAAAAGCCAGAGTTTTGTTGATACTGCCCCCCAAGCCCTCCTTCCTAATGCTTCTTTCATTACTCTGAGAATTTGGCCAAATGTTTCTGTTTTTCTCCAAATTACTTTCACATACAGTACAAAAATAAGCAAGCTAATGAAACAACATAAAGAGGAAAGGAAATATGTGCTAATCCTGACCTCAGGATACTTATAAATTCTCAAGCCATTTTAGAAATTATGTATTCTATAAGTATGCTATGCATGCAACTTCATTTTTATTAGTTGTGTTTATTGTACCACCAGATGCCATTGGGGGAAATTCAATTAAAAGGAATTTTTCACTATATGCATTGTTATGCCAATAACTGCTTTACTGATCACATCTAATTACAGGCTATAAACAAGTAAGTATAAAGTTAACTATAAACATGCAGTTAAGACACATCAAAGGAGGCGATTCTGAAATTTTTAAAAATTCTTGGCTCTTTCATGTATTACATGTTTATTGAAGTACACTGGCACAGTAGCTCTAGCATAGAATATTTGTACCAGTACAGTATGCCTCTAATTCAGAGTATAATGGGATTTAATTCCACCTAATATGTAAAGACCAGAATTGTTCAATATAATTTTGCAAAATCACTTCAAAGTTTAATTTTGTGCTTTTCTATATTCCTTAATAAAACCCAACAGTTCTTCTATGGCAAGGGTGTCAAATTCGTGTCGTCAACTGGGAATGGGCGTGGCCAGCACGTGACATATCCAGCCCACAACCATGAGTTTGACAGTCCTGTTCTATGATAATTTAGGGCAGAGGTCTCCAAACTTGGCAACTTTAAGGCTTGTGGACTTCAACTTTCAGAATAGCATAGCTGGCTGGAGAATTCTGGGGGCTGAAGTCCACAAATCTTAAAGTTGCCAAATTTGGGGACCCACGCCTTAGGGGTAAGAACCTAATAATGCAGTGATAAAGCATATTCTTTCTACACTTTTCAACTCATCTATAAGTTCAGAATCTGCCAACACAAAATGCAGTGGTTGTCTTTAAATGATATACTAAATGATATACTATAGTTTGATTAGTCATGGTTTACTACATGAGCCACAATTACATTCCCACAGTGCACTAGAACAATCCCTGGTTTTCAGACAAGGGCTGGGTTCATACAACTTGCTGGTTGACAAACCTTAGAGGACAATTAACCAGTGGAACTACTTGCCTCTGGAAGTTGTGAGTGCTCCATCACTGGAAGTTTTTAAGAAGAGACTGGATAGATGTTTGTCTGGAATGTTATAAGGTCTCCTGCTTAAGCAGGAGGATGGACTAGAAGACCTCCAAGTCCCTTTCAAGTCTGTAAATCACAATTTGGCATGTTGTATTATGTCAACTAGGCTAATGGAGTACAAGATAAACAGATGCCAATCTGTCTTCAAGAAACAGCTGAGAAATTCCACCAGGAAAGGAGAAGGAAAATCTGCAATTTTCCATCACAGCTGTTTTTCTTCTGAATTTCAAGTCCATGCTTAACCCATAAGGACCTGGATTGCTGAAGTCTATAGGTGACAATCAATGACTTACCAAACTCCAGAATCTGACTCCACAGTGGTGAAAGCCATAACCTGAATAGAACAATCCTATGGACTTTTTTCTTCTTCTTCAGATCTAACCTGAATTCAATGGATTTACTACCAACAGAAGCTGCCCTTTCATTGTAACGATGCAACTGCCGAGGCTGACTTTTAAGTAGACCAAGTAAACCTCCATTGCAAATACAAAAAGACTTACAGTATTCCCAGCAAGCAAGGTCGCCATCGCATTCTTAGCCGGGGAATTCCGCCCCAGTTTGCAGCGGTCAAGATTCTCCTCGGAGAAAATGCCCGAAGCATCGCGCTCTTGCGTAGCAGCAACCCTGTGCAGTACTCACTAGGAAGTAAAAAGACGACGGGGTTGGAAACCGCTTCCCTGGAAACCCGCTTGGGATCCCTCCAAGCATTGGCACGTACGCCGACTTTAATACCAGTGGCACATACCAGTAAGAGCATCTACCCCGAGTGCCATCATGCACAGCACCAAGAAACAGCGCGCAGGCGGCGACAGATCAAACACCTCACCTGCGCGTGGCCTCAGCACCCATCCACATCTGGTCCAGAGGGGCGTGGGCGTCGCCGCCGCTGGTTCGGCCGAGGGAATGGAGCGCAGGCAAACGAGGCAGCGCCTGGTTGCCGGGCGAAAACGCTCCCAGCTGCGGCGGCAGGTTGCGTGGATCAGGAAATTAGGGCAGCCGGTCGGGATTGGAGGCGCTCGCGAGCCAACCAGAGGCCGCCCAGGCAAGCGTCCGTGAGTCACCGGCGCGCAAGGAGAGCGGAGCGGGGAAGGCTGGTTATAAGAGCTGCGCCGAGCTGCCCTCCCCTTTGTGTACGTTCTTCGGCTCTTCCTTCGCCGGCACCACCACCGGTGTGTGTGTGTGCGTGCGTGCGTGTGTGGGTGCACGCGCGCCGCCTTGCCCGGCACCTCCTGGATTTCTGCTTCTTCCACACACACACACCCCCACCCTCCCGCCGCGCGCGCTTTTGCCTCGGACTGGAATTGCCTCCTCGCATTGTCTGCTTCCCGCCGCCCTACCTGGAACCTTTCTCCCTCCCCCTCCTCCACCCACCTACCTACCTACCCACCTACTCTCCCGCGGGCGCTTTCTCAGAAGGGAGGAGGGCAGCGAGGAAGCAGTCTCCCCCCCACCTCCCGCTCCCCGCCTGCGCGTCCGCCTTCTGCCCCGAACTTGCACGGTGAGGAGGCGCCGCGGGCGCGCTGCACGATGGACACGTTCTGGCGGCCGGGACTGAGGCCGGGGCTGCTGGTGCTGCTGCTGGCGCTGGCTTGCCTGCGAGGAGCGCGTGGTGAGTAAGGGGCTCCCGGTTCTTTCTCCCCCCCCCCCCCAACCCCGGGGACGCCTGGCAACCGGGTAGGCGGCGGGGGCGGCGGGACGCGAGAGAAGCCGGCGCGGCGTCTTTGCTTTTGGGGGAGCGGCGAACTCCCTCGTTTCTCCAGAAATGCCTCCCGAAGAGCAGGAATTCTAACCCCACACACGAACGGCTACGTGCTCTTGAACCCGTAGTCAAAATCCCATCTTTTTTTTTTTTTTTTTCAAGCCCGTCCGCCTTGCTTAGACGCCGGCTAGAAAGGCGGCGGCGGGAGAGGGAAGGGTGCCGCTTTCCACTTGGTTGGTCTCGGGTGGCGAAGCCTCGCCGCTGAGAGAGAGAGAGAGAGAGAGAGTTCATGGTGAGAGGAACAACCTGGCCTCCTCCTCCGGAGGGTGTCCCGGCCTTTCTTTGTTCTGACAGCTGTTATGGGCTCCGCCGTACCCTTGACCCTGAAGTTCAGCCCTTTTGCTCAAAGGGGAAGAAGCTCCTTAAGTACTCTCCTTCTCTCCCCCCCCCCCCCACCTTTCCCCGTGGTTTGGTACACCTGAAGGGAACCCTCTTCAATGTTGGTCGCAGAACTTTCCATCTGCCTCTAGGTGGTGGGGGGGGGAGGGCAGGCCCTTGAAAAGGAGTTATGTGTCCCACCATATTGTTAGTGGAGATCTCTCAAGACGACACTAGTGTAAAAATGTTTGTGCTCCCTCTGCGTGGCTCTATTCGGGAACTGTAACTGTGGTTTAGTGGCATTTATAACTAACTGACTTAAGTGGACAGCATTGGGCTCCCATGTGAGAGTGGGGTCAGTGGAGTTACACAGAGGAGGATGGCTGTAGTAGCAGATGCTGCCCCTAAAAAAAGAACAGGGAGCATGCAGATAGAGATAGATCCGGGGAATATAGCTTGGGCAATGTTACATGGCCTGCAGGGACCAGAAACACACAGCACATTGTTCTCTGCAGTATTTTAATTGGCAAATGGAGCCGGTTTTTGAAGGCCAGTGATGTTTTTAATTATTGCTTTAAAATGTGTTTGAGTGGTTTAATCATGAAATAGCTACTCCCTTAACTAATAATCCTGGTCTGCTTTTCTCTGCTTGCCTAACTTTTCTTTAAACTCTGCAGCTGGAGAAGATAAAAACTGGGAGAAACTCCCCCATACAATTAAGAACTTCCAATCCTTCATGGTTCTGCTGGTTCCTAGTACTGTAAGTCTACGCAAGGCCATTATCACAAATAGGATTGCACTGCAAGTGCTGTAGGATGGTGACTTGAAATAGTTAATTGCAAATGTTAATTTTATGGCTGGGAGAGGCCATTTAAAGCCAAGCTAAAATCCGAGGGTGTCTTAGATAGGAACATGTAGGCAAGATTGTTTTGTTTATTAGAACAAATCCTTTGGACTCAACTACATTATGACTAGGATTATTGCAGATGGATTTGCAGTACTTGGCCACATCACTGCTTTGCTTCCTTTCTGTAAGTTTAAACTTGAGTAACCTTTTAACTTTAGCGCTTTGCGAAGCAAAATGCCAGTCCACCAAAATAGTAATCCTCCTTCCCTGCCAAATACTCCATTGTAAACATGCTATGTGTGTCAAACTTACAACATTTGTAAAACTTACAATACTTGACTGTGGTTATTCTTACTTTCATCAGATATAGAAAGGAATGGAATCTTGCATTTGTATTGTATTGTATTTCCTTGTTTTTTTAATCCCTGCTTCACTGAAACTCATTAAGGCCTGAAAGATTTCAAATATACGTTGATAAGTTTACTTTGTGGTGGTTTTTAAATATCTGCAGTTCCTGCTGATGCAAGCTTTCCTCATCATGCCACTTAAGAACTTTCTTTTTCAAGCATTAGTAATTTGGCCAAGAAACTAAGTTTCAAGGCCAAGTAGTGCCAATACCAAGTTACACACGTATCTTCCATAGGCATTAGAGTAGGTGTCCGTGTATGCTGGCTGCATTGCTGTCAGTGGAAAGGACGGGCAGGGCATCCAATTTTTAATGTAGTTCTAGCACTAAAGTGAAAAATCCACAGGATTCCAGTAAGCATAGATAATGATCAGAAGATCATAGGAATTTACAGTTCATCTTTGTTTTTAGTATATTTGTTAATGTAAAAGAAAATATTGGATGTGAAAGAAATCCTGGTTAGGAGTGTTCAAAACTCTGTTCAAAATGGGTATTCCAATGTTACCACAATTGGTGTGGTATTTCAACCATACAAGTAATCCTCGACTTACAACCATTTGCTTAATGACCAAAGTCACAATAGCACCGAAAAAGTGACTTATGACCAGTTTTCACATTTGTGACCATTGCAGCATCTCCATAGTCACATGATAAAAATGTGGGCGCTTGGCAACAGGCATGTACTTATGGCAGTTATAATGTCCCAGAGTCATGTGATCACTATTTGTAACTTTCCCATCTGGCTTCCAGCAAGCAAGGTCAATGGGAGAGGCTTCATTTAACAACTGCATGATATACTTAATAATTTTGACTAAAAAAAGTTGTAAAGTGGGCCAAACTCACTTAGGCACCTTGCTTATCAATGGAATTGTTGGGTTCTATTGAGGTAAGTTGAGGATTATGTGTACTGCAAGACCTCTGTGTTTTAAAGTTGGAATACTTATGGTAGAGTCAAAATAGTTTTGGCACTCTTTGATAAATTCACCACAGCCATCTTGACCAGACCTACCACCAATCACAGTGAACTAATGAAATGAAATATAGCACGTGGATAAAAAACATTTAAACAGCTGTCCTGCTTGTGATTAAATTTGGAATGCAAGAGTTGATTGCTCTTTGCAGCATTGAATATCATGACCTAAAGTCTCAGTTTGGGCATTAGATTTGGCATGAACCTTTGCATTGGGTATCGGCCATCTTTAATTTATGTGATATCCAAAACCATATGAGCTGCAGAAGCATTTCATACAAGTTCTATGTTTGTCGTTTTATTTCCTTACAAAGTAAATGATATTATAAAAAAGTGCTGAAAGAGTAGTTAGTAAGCAAAAGAAACTAAAGGAAAAGAACAAATAAAATCTTACTAAACTACTCCATTCTATTTATCTTGCCATGTATGACTATCGTTGCTTCCACTATACCCATATACTAATTCGTTGCTTTGTTTTTCAAGTTTCTCTTTTTCTTTTTGAGAATCAACTTTATCCAATCATGACTTTCTTGGTTTTTCCTTTCTTTGCAAGCTATTTTTATTCCTGTATGTATTTGTTATACAATTTAAGCCTTATACTCTAAATCAGGGGTCGCCAACCTTTTGGACCTCAGGGACCACCAAACACATAATTTTAAATCCTGCAGACCAGAGACCCTGGGAAAATCCCCCAAAAAGTCTGCAGGAAAATTCCCCACCCCATTTTCCTACTGAACGATCATTCTTTATTTGGGATTGCAGGATACCGTCTCCAGCTCCATTCTCAGTGGTGGGGAGGGGGGGGAGAGAGAGACTTGGCTTCATGCAAGGAAAGCAGCGGAAGCTGCAGAAGTCTTTCTTTCTCTCCCCCAAACTCCACCAGAAATGAGTCTTTGCCGGTGCAGCCTCTTGGAGCAGGATGCCTTGCAGGGTTCCAAAGACTCATTTCTGGCAGAGTTTGGGAGAGAGAAAGAAAGACTTTTGCTGCTTTCCTTGTGTGCAGAAAAAAGCAGAAGAAGAAAGAAGCAGCCCAGTGGCCAGGCCAGGCGCGTGGGGCAAGTTCCCCCTCCGCCCTTTCCCCCCTCCCCTCCCTACCTCATGTTCGTAATGCAAGTGACGCAAGCCTTGTGTTCCCGTGGGCCATATGGATGGCACAGCCTTGTATTCCTGTGCAGCCTGGATTAATTGCTTTGGGGGGTGACATTTCTCTGCAGACCACCAAAATTTTCTCGTGGACCACCAGTGGACCCCGGCCCACTGGTTGGCGATCACTGTTCTAAAGGTATATGAACAATACTTCATATAACAAGGTGGACATACAATTGTTTTCGTATATTACCCACATATTTTCAGTTCTTTCAAGTTTAAATCATTTCTCACAATAAACCATATTTAACAAGTACCTTTTTACTAGACTTTTTCAAGATTTAGAACAATGTTTTTTCAAACTTGGCAAGTTTAAGTTATATGGGCTTCAACTCCCAGAATTCTCCAGGGAGAATTGCTCAGCATGCTGGTTGGAGAATTCTGGGAGTTTGAAAAAACGCTACTTTAGAATCACTCCCTCATTCTCTAAAGGTATACAAATTCATCCATTTCCTTGCATTTATCCCATTATACTGGTAATTGTTCACTTCCTTTTTCCTGTGAAACACAAAACTGTTTGACAGATTTTCAGAGGAAAAAATGAAAGCCACCTCATAGTTTTATCTCACATTGCAAGCTGTATTTATTCATAGCACCGTACTCTGAAACAAGTGAAGTGAGGATTGCGCACTTAGCAAAACTTTCTGTCTGCTTGTTGGGATTATTCCAATTAGTTAAACATTCTGAGCTTTACACATCAGGGGAAGGAGTAGGTCCTTATATGTGCTACTCGGCATATATAAACACTTACTGACTTTCTTCTAGCAGTTTTTGTAATTTAAATTTGGTTTTGACAAGCACATTCCACAAGAGTGGCATTTAAGGAAAGCTATTTAAATTGTGAAGATTAATGCATTCATTGGTTTTCTATTCAGGGAGAAGCAGAGATCTTAGCTCACAGCTTTAATAATAATCAATTTTGAAACAAGCTTATGTATTATGACAAAAGATATCTATGCTTGTGTGAATGCCTTAACTTGAATTTTAATGGCATCTACCTAATGCTTTACTCGAGAGAGGTTGCCAATGTTTAAAAAGTCTAAACTTCTAATGTTTTAAAACTCTAAAAACTCCTTAATCTTGGGCCTCGTGAGGTAGAATTTGTCCAGTATAACTTTTCCCAGATCTCCATCCCTCAGTTCCAGGAAATAACCGCAAGTAGT